TTAGTATCAAACGTTGCTACCGATAAAGCTTTATTGATCGCACTGACTCTAACACTGTATTTAGCTCCATTTTGTAAGGTAAGGCTTGTCACTTCTAAAGAATCTTCTTCGGGATTTCGTATTTCAGTCCATTTACCTTTCCCTAATGAAAATATAGTAAGAATCAGAAAATCCTATATTTTTTGAATAAATCCAGACTTGGAAAGTAAGTAAAATAATAGGATAGTGACATAGTTAACCGGATTTCCCTTTTTTGAGCGTTTGAAATGCTGTCGTCTTGCATCTAAAAATCAGGTTATTACGATAATTGCCCCTTTTTCATTTCATTGTTGTGCATGTATTTGATGTCGTAAAGTCCGTTTGAACAAGAAAGATGTATTTCAAAATAAAGAGTATTTGGAATGGAAAATTTCATATATCAATTACCTGGATATATCTGATGTTTAGAACCTTGGTATAACTGATAAATCTGGTATTTATAATGATCTATTCCAGATTCTTCATCAATAAATTTATAATTAGCCGAGATGAAAGAATTTGATGACTGAAAAAGAAATCAATTCAAATCAACTTATATAAAATTTATATATTGTGATTTTCAGTTAAGCAATAATGAAAATTAATCCATCAGCATGCTATCCAAATGGTTTCACGATCAATTAAATCTTGAAAATATACCCAAAAGATTTATAAAATCAAAACCTCCTTCTATAATCTGCTCAGAGGCGCATTCTAAGCTTCTTGAAATCACCATTCATTTTGTGACGGGTGATCAGAACTGACACACATGTCCGTCGTTACTTGTTGATACTTTCAGCTTTTTGTAGTTATCTTCCACTGTTATCGACTGGTACCATCTGCGTATTTAGGGGAGCAGACCTGTGAAAGTTCTTATTTTGAGGTGAAAGTTAAGATTTCTAAGTGCTCCAAATTCATCTCAGGCCAACTAAAATCCGGTGCCTTCTTGGGTTCCACTGGCAGCTCTCCTCCCCCGGTCTTAAGATATGCTTCGGAGAAACGCCTCTCCTTTTTGGTTCCCTCAAGCATTTTCTAGATACGCCGCAGACTGGTATATTCATCAGAGACTTGTTAACGTCAGTAAGATTCGAACTAGATAGATAAGTAAGCTGAATATAGAATTATGTCCGAATTTTACCTGGTAATCAACGTCTTGTCTCTGTTGACCTCCATCATTTAAATAAATTAAAGTAGGTGGAGTCAAATCAACAACATATCCATCTGTGTGTTGAGTAATTTTGCCCAGAGCGCCATTCGTGGTTAGTAATCGTATTTTGACACTATCTTGATGGTGAAGATGGAAATTATGCCATTCAAATGAGTTTGTATCATTATCAACTTCGTGCCAATCTCGAAGTATCTTAAAATCTTCAGAAATATTCCTGAAATATATTATTCAGATTAGCGTCTCTCCGCCCGGACGTCATTGTACAGTCGTATGTGGACCCTTTCAGTTTTTATCAGTTTCAACAAAACCTGGTATACTAATGTATGCTTAAATCTTCGACGTAATTTCGAAAATCTCTATTTTTTGTTGAGTCAGAGTTTTTCATAAGCTGTGGTTGGGTGGCGGATAAACGTCATAGAGGTAAAGCGGACCAATGTGTAACATGTTGCAGTCTTAATTTCTCTTTAAAAAAAAAAACAATTCTAACGTAGGTAGGGCATGATAGCTTTAAAGCTGCCAAGTACATTGCTGTTGTGTTGCTTTTCTGTAAAATTTTAGTCTAATATCTTTTAGCAATGTAGTTCTTACTTGGCTCTGAGTATCTGAACTGCCAACGATTTTATACTAGATTCTGGATCAAACTGCCCTTTCCATTGCCCTGCAACAGTTGCTGTAGCACCACTAAACTGTATATCAGTAAAATTATCTCTTTTTCCATCTACTACTTCCCCTTCAACTGGTACAGTTAGGTCAACAATTACTGAAAGTAATCCGTAAATGGCAGTTATACATATAGACGACTCAGAAGATGGATTCAATTCTCAAAACTAATACGTATATATGAATTTGAGCTCTCTAAATATTAATTATACGACAATCTCTAAGAGATCTACATTTTCTTCAGAAATACATGTGCAAAAGGCAGCAAATTAAAATTATGATAAAACAACAATCGTTGCACCATAAAACTATTATATATTACAGTTCTATGGTTGCACAAATATAACCCATTAATCCATTGTTAATCACAGCTCGCTTATTTCTGCATTTAATACTCACCACCATCAGATTTTCCAGATACATTCAGTTGTTGATGACCAGCATTAAAAGCCCACAACTCGATATAATATTTCTTGGAATGTTCTAGCAGGCCATCTTCGAATTCTATACAGGCTTCGTGTGTTCGATGATCAAAATCAGTTCCATTGGTCAGATACATATCATTGTCCGATGAGCGAACAAACACAGAGAAATATGACAAACCAGACTCGGGATCGTAGAAATCTACCCAATTGGCACAGATCTGAAAGAAACTGGTATTTCTGACACAAGATCAATACTACAGCATATGATTTCGCGGAGGTAACCAAAGGAACTAATACTGAAAAAATTTAAACATGCCAAGCAAAACTCTTAGCAATATGTTGTTTTGGATTTTGGGTTTTGTTCTGTGGTTCGGATCGTTTATTTATACAATACCTTATTGCTATCCTTGGTAAACATCAGATCATGTTTATAAAGAGGACCATCATAAACTTCTCCTGCTATAGGTGGTGTAACATCAATAATTAGAGGACTGTCCGCTGATCTCAATGCAGACATATTCACTGAAATACAAATAGATTGTTTAAGACAGACATGTTCACTGAAATACCACCAGTTTCTTAAGACACACATGTTCACTGAAATACAAATAGATTGTTTAAGACAGACACGTTCACCAAAAAACAAAAAGGTTCTTAAGACAGACATGTTCACTGAACTATAAATAGCTTCAGGTGCCCAGAGGCAGACACGTTCGCCAAAATACAAATAGCTTCTTGAGGCAGACATGTTCATTGAAACACTTCGGAGCATAAAACCACTGCTTTCACATCCATTTTGATGCCATATATTTTGCCAGAAATAGTTTTAACT